CAGCGGCGCAAGCCCTTAAATTATGGAGGCTGCAACAGCAGCGCGATTTAAGGCATTCCACAGATGGTGCGGCACAACAATCGAGGAACCACTGCTTGATTGCGTTTTCCAGTCTGAACTGAAAACCTGCAACGAATTGATTGAAGCAAGAAAGCTACGTCAACATCCCCAAGTTGGGAGCCTTCTTTTTGGGGATCACGATGCATTTCTGTGTGTGCGCGATCAGCATCCTTGGCCACTGAGAGGCAAATCCTCTCCGAGATTCATGAAAAGAGCAGTGCAAATCACTGCAGCCCAAGAGCAGATTGAACCACTTCTCTTTGCGATTGACCTGCCGACACTAAGCGACCGCGTGACTCCAAAAAAGGACTCTGCATGCGGCAAGCATCTATATCTATATCCTCAAAGATTCTGGAACTGAGGCCGCTCAGGCACCCCCAATTCCGTTCTGAAGCTGATGCTACAAGTAGGGCTTGGGATTCTTTACATTGTCCTGTCCTCCGCAGTCCGCTCATCCTTTTTCTGGACTGTACTGTCTGTTCTGACGCGCTGCTCAGGACATCATGCGTGGCAGAGGACAGTACGACAAGCTCATGGCAGTCGTGGCAGCCAGGATCCTCAGATCCCTTGGACTTAGATCTGCTAGAAAGGGTGCCTGCTACATGTGCGACATGGATGACTCCATCGGAAACTCCTACGGCATCCTAAGGTGTTACAGGCCTCAGAGCCGCGAACTGCTCGACCCTACTTGTACTGGATCTCTGCCAAAACCCTGGCCAAGTAAGTTTACAAAGGTGCTGCTTTTCCTGCAGCTGCTAGCTGCGGCTTTGTCAAGTGCGAAGCTGGGAGCTTCTTGTGGAGCCCTGCATCGTGCTGGTATCATTTGGCACTGAGCTGGGCCTCGCAGACAGTGAGGCTTGTGCCGTCCACGGCAATGTAACCTGTGCGGTTGAGGAAGCGTGCTGCATGAGACCAATTAGCACTGCATATTGTGTTACTATTAATATGTCTGTACACCTCATGATGGAAAGAGTGCTCGGTTGCCCTGGAGAGTGGCAGCTTGTTCCAGGTAACTCTGAACTAACTGACAGTTTGCAATGGCAGCAGCCGCTGTGGGGTGAGCAGATCAGCGGGATGTCAGAAGTTCAGCAGGCAGCGAGTCATGCAGCATGAAGTCGGCATAGGTCAGTCAAACGCAAGTGAGACTCCAACTCAACACATCTGAAAGCTGCGCTTGTACTAATGCAGAAGACCGAGAAGCATATGGGGGCGGGTCGTCCATAATTACCTTGTTCAATTATGCCTTGCGCCAAGCTTGTGCTAATTGTGAAAACCTAAGGTTTTCTCGAAAATGCACGTGCTTTCGCGGGACCTTCCTGAAAGCTTTCAACATGCCATGTGCTTGCGCCACCCTTGGTACGCCCTTGCACTAACCTTGTGCGAGTGGGGTTTTCGTGCGTGTGCTGTCATGATGTTAGCGCTTCACAGAAGGAAAAAAATGGTTCTCGATGGTTTTTGGGCGGCCCTCATATGAGATGGTGCTTGGATTGCCAGAGTAACTTGTAGTCGACCGATCCTGACGAGCCCTCCCAGCCTTTGGGAATCACGTAAGGAAGGAGGTCTTCGCTCAGCGAGATGCGCACCCTCGGCAGACAGCCAGGTGGAGCGAGCATCACATGTCAAACGCTTCATAATGAAAAGCATGGCAATTGTCAAAGTGCAAAGGTAAAACTAAGCCTTTGGTATCATCCTAGACAAGGCCACACACCGCCCTTCTCTCCTGTTGTCCATCAAATGCTCCATGCATCACGGTCGGTGAATTTCAATTCATTCTCTGATGGACAAGGCGTGTCCGCCTCTTGGGTGCTGACCACAATGAGTCGCCTTCGGGCGTAAACTTGAGGATCTTGCCAGCTTCGTCCACATGGCCCTACAGCTTGGGGCCAAGGATCTGGTTCATGGGCTTGGCTTGGCACGGTCTGGCTCAAGAAGAGGTTTGCGGCGTCATCATCTACCCAAAGCACACAGATGACCTTGCTCAAGAAGTATGGCCTCTGATATCCTAAAGTCCAGGAGTGCTGGAGGTTGTAAATGTTGGAGTCATGAAGCTTCTGAGCTTCTACAAAGCGCTATGCCGATCCTAGTTTGCGATGCTTCTAACAGCATAGGTGTCTTTATTGTCTGGTTCAGGCGCAAGTGCAGCAAAATGCGAATCGGAGTTCTGTGCTTAGGCGCTCACATTGGCTGAAGGTCTTAAAGGGGCCCGTGCCCTTGAGATTCAGATCTAACTGAGCTTCATTGGTGTGCGTTCTTGTGTTTTCTGGGTCACCCCGATGGCTGTGACAAAGCCTGGCGCTCTCATGACAAAGGCGCAAGATCTACAGCTAGAAGGAGCAACAGCTTCCACCTGCAAGGCAAGCACTGCCTGCATAGTCTCTGGCGACTGAGTCTTAGAACCAATCAGTGGCTTCAGAGGCATGCCCCTGAACTACCTGCCGTTCAAAATCCTCGCTGCATGACGAACTGGCTCCACAAAAATACGGACTTTCAGGCAAGTCCTCAACTTCAAACCATAAGTGTAACCCTCGATACTCAATCTTGACCCTACATCGATTCAGCAACGCTCGCCTGCCTGTACAAAGTGGCCGGAATTCCTATCAGTGGCGGCCATGGACCTGGCAATGATGCAGGCTTGGCTGTCGAAGATTCTGTGAGGCACACTTTCTGGCCACTCACACGCAGATGGCCATGTTATTTGGTGGTTGGTCGGTCCAATAACCAGACCCCAAACCTCGGGAACCTGGCAAAGGCTGCACATGAGATTTGAGACGGGTGTCTACGCGGTCCCTCACGGCTTAGATGGACAGCTTGTTTTCGTGAAGGCCCCGGGCATTCAAGTTATTTCCGGAATTCTGACAAGAACGATCTTCCTCATTAAGCCTGGAGTTTTGGCCTTGCCCTCAGTTGCTCGGCACAGATCCGGACAGCAGTTCTTCCTTGCTGTGTCTGAGCAACTTGACTGTCGATCAAGAAGACCATCAGACTTTTAGACTCATGCTCTTTCATGTGTGTCAGAGAAACGCATCACTAGTGGCGGCTGGGCTTCATTTTGCCGAAGCCTGACGAAATTTCATGCTGTCAAATCACATCACCCCTCCAAAAGTCTGAGCAGATTTGTCATACGCTCAGGAGATCTCAGCACCAACCTACATCCCGCTGTCATTGCTGGTCTACTCAGCAAAACCCCTTCCCCGCCTTTCCAGGTTCACGAGATCACCTTTGGAAAGATCACCCAAATCCGTTCGCCGAAGAGTCTCAGGCGCACAGTTGACCTCAAAAGCCTGGCAAGTGGCTATACCTTTCTCAGTCATGCAGGCCTTCGGGCCGAAGAGCTCAGGCTTCCTTGCTTATGAGTGCTAACGCAAGTGGACCTCTAGCAATGAACTTCAAATCATTCTCAGGCGGAGGGCGAGCACAGAACATGCAACGGCTTGTGGCGGGTGCTGCGTACTGGGGCGTCATAACTCTGCAACTCGGATCTTCAAATTACCTCCGGCCTCCGCATCGAAGGTTGTCACTGTGAGGCAGGTGCCATTTACAGCGATGGAGCATCCAATGTAGGCACCCTGCAAAGCCACCTGTGCGGCAGAGCTGTCAGGCCGGATCTGAGCTCGCTGAGATTTGGCGGGCTTTGATTTCGCAAGTGCCAAGCTCAACGTTGCAGAGTGCTTTACTGGCCAGAACCCAACGGACTGCGTGGTTGCTGCCTAGACCAGTGTACCGGCGTGTGGACTCCTACTGGACTTGAAAACCTCAGGAGCACACAGCGTCACTCAGCTAAATGGAACAGATCTACTTCTCAGAAGGAGCCTGGCACTTGATGCGCAAGACAAAGCCTCAGTTGGTCACACCAGTCACGTCATACAAGACCGTGTTAACCGCCCCTGCTGTGAAGTGGCTTGGCAGGCATCCTGAATGAAGGCTTTGGAGCTCGGCTCATCCAATCAGCCGAGAGTCCCTCAGACTTGGAGCCATCCCACATCTCCAGATTGGCCTGTTGCTTCCCGTTTTAGAAGAAGAACTGCGGGAATCAGGGAACTGCTTCTTTGGGCGCATGTTCTCTTAGAGAGATGTGCCATGATGTGCCTGCCCCAGAGCTTGCAGCTTGTGACTCCACATGTCTATGTGACACAGGCGCCAGTGCTTGGAAGAAGGCCAAGGTCCTCTCCCTCCTGCAAGGTTTCCTACCATAGCGTGCAGCCCAGACCGGGACCTAGCAGTTTGATGGTGCAGTCAAGGCGCTATGCCCCCACACTGAATTGTCCTTAGCACCTAGACGAAGCTCGCCCTCTCGAGTCATTTCTCCCCACGCTGAAACAAGAGCCATTCATCCCAAGACCTTTGATTCACACCCAATTGTCCTGAGCTCAAGAATTCGATCCCTAACAAGCAGGATGTGCAGGAAACTCACTACAAACATTCGGAATAAGGGCAAAGACTACAGAAGACTGCACTTGGTCCGAGAGCCTAGCTAGTGCCATGCTATTCGCTCGCAGGGTAATTCTGTGACTAGCGGCTTCTTACCGACCTTTGGCTTGTGCACTGCTTCTGGCCTTCCGCTCGACAGAAAGCACAGTGCCCATCTCCTGCAGGTTCTGCATCGCACAATTGGGCTTGAGTGGCCTGGTGGGTGTTCACCGAGAATTTGACCTTACTTTAAGATTGCTTGCAGCAATTCGGACACCACATTTGCAAGTTGAGAACACGGGAACCTGACATACCTCACTTGGCTGGCTCTCCTTGCAAATCACTTCACTTGAAACGAGCTCTTGAGCTGGCAAGTGCTGCTGGGTTAGAAAGGAGCCCTCGAAGATCCGAGCTCAGAGCCTCGACGATCCCCGTGAATACCATGGCGCCTGGACGAGAAATGCCCCAGGGCCCAAGATTCAGAGTGCTGTGACTAGCCGACGAGCCATGGTATTGGACCCCAAAAAGAGACCCTCTCAGCCGAGCCTGCCCAATCCAGGTGAGTAGCTGCCAAGCTTGATGCACGTCCCGAGAGGCTTGTGAAAGGTTGGCTGGTTCTTCTTGGAGCAGCGTGCTAAAACGTTGCCGTACCTTTGACCATGCGCCTATGTTGCTGAAAGCTACCTAACATGTTGGCTCAGGGTCAACAGCCAGCATGGCTCTTCCAGACAACACTGACACCCAAGATTAATGACGAAATCTCAAACGAATGGGCTGCAGCATGCGGCTACGAGTATACAGTTCCTGTAGGCGGCCGTGTCCTCAGCTGGTCAATCATCATGCTTGATGCAGGCGTCTGAAGCATATGAAGCGAGGTTCTGCGGCAGCACGCCATGATGATGTCCATCTATGCTTGCACCACTCCTTTCTAAAAGCATTGGCAACTCCTTAATCACTGTTCTTACTCATTGCTGTGACTGTCCGTAAATTGCCTCTGATTTGCATCTCGGCCCATGAAGTGGGAGTCTGTGTAACGTATGCCAGTTGTTGCAAACTTCCCGACTGCAAATGAGATACGAGCTTATAACTGTGCAACATGCTTCCCAAAGGACAAGGAAACAAGCAGCCTTGGCAAAATTGCTGACTTTGTTCAGGCAACTGTTAGAAGCATGCACTGGAACTGCGGGCGGCAGAAGCTGTATGATGAGAACTGAGAACGTTCTGTCGTTCGCTCAGAGTATGTCAAAGCCGCCATCAATCTCGTCGGAAATGGATCAGCCAGGTTTACATTTGCTCTGGCGTCTGTAGGACTCTGTAGAGTGATCATTACCCCGATGCAAAAAACATTGAGGAGCAAACCATCCAGAAGCTATTCAATCTGCTTTGGTGAACTGATGGAGATGCTCACCCCAAGCTGCCTAAACCGGCTCAGGGTGTGATGTGTGATGTGAGTGCTAGAACAGCGACCGTTCATCCGACTGGGCTCTCCACGCTTGTTTCAAAGTCCCCTCCAATGCCCTTTCAGAATCCCATCATCCCTTGTCAACTTCGGCCAGAAGGGGGACCAAACTCAGCTCGTGATCCTCGCTATGTTGCAAGATTGTCAACTCCTTCGAGGGGATCTCTTGCTTTTGGCTCTGAAAACTGCGAAGAGTGAGCAACACTTGTGTGGGCAAGTAAACCTACCAATTTTGCGCCCTGAGAAAGCCAGACCTGCTTCTGCAGCTGCTGGCTCGGAGCCAAAAGGAACGACTGGTACAACCAACAGCTGCCCTCAGCTTATGTTGGGCAGACTGCAGACAGCCCCAAGGCTGGGGACCCCCTTAGAACCACACTATTGGAATTCAGTAGCATTCGCCAAGCAAGAGCTCAATGAGTGAGGTTGGCTGCCGAAACTAACCCCGTTGATTCCGAAATGAAAAGGACCTGTTTATTCAAGTACTACCTTTGTATAATAATGATGGTTGAACCCTAGGTGCGAGGCCTGGCACCGAAATTGCTGGGTTTGTGCGCGACAGGGATTTGTGCAAAACAGGAACAAACTACTACTATTCCTACTGTTATTGTCATTGCTACTATCCTTTTTACTCGTTACCATAATATTGTTATTACCTGCCAAATTGGAAGAGCTTTTTCTCCGTCAGTAGGGCGCGCCCGACTGCGGTGGAACCTTACGTGGCACAAGCTGTCTTTCAAGGGGCTTTTATGGGCTGGACAAAAGCGGCATGCTGGGCCGGCTGTAGAAAAGTGGGGCTGCTGGACTCAAAGATTTCAAGGAAGAGAGTCACCCTCCTTCCAACCATCTCCCGACCGTCGCAGATGAGGAGCAAGCCGAAACAGCCGCACCTGCAAGTGCCTACAATTGCCAAACCTGAGCAATACCATTGCCACCGAACTCGTATGTGACTCCAAGCTGTATTCCGACGGCAACAAGGGAAATGAAAAGCCTGTCCGTTCGTACTCTTTACAACTGCAGGAATCATACTTCCAGGACCCTGCCAACAAAGTTTAAGCCTCCCCCCAGATCTTTGCAGGATCAGGCCGGCACAGGGGCAGTGGGAGGCCACGCATAGGGTGGCCAAGCGAAAGGCGGTGGGTGCCCTGCAACAGATGTAGCGCTGGCTGAGTGGTTGCACGGCTGGATATGGCATGACGGGGACTCCTTGTTTGGACTAATTTGGACAATGTGGACAGGTCAGAACGCTTCAACTTGCTCCCCTAGCCACGGTGGGACCGTGTAGCTTCTGCAAAGGTCTTGGTACGAGTCATGCAGGACATAGGGTTCGAGGAGTTCTGCGCCAAGGACTGGCTACCTAATGTTTGGCTGTAGCTTGAAATGGAATTCGATCGCACCTCAGAAATCACGACCCTACTGCCTCGAGCAATCCTGCAGTCCAATAACTGGTAATAGAGCTGGCTGCCTGGCCAGCCCTTAAGATTAGGTGCACTTGGCAAACAGACAAATCGCTGCTGATCAACAAGCGTTCACGTCCCATGCTGTCTGATACGGAAGTTCTGGAAGGCACAATTGTTCTGGAACGTTTAGATCGTGATTTGTTTGGATGTGTTTTGGTGAGCATGATGACTACAAAAATGACGATAACGTGACTGGGCACTCCCGGTATGCAACAAAAACGGGGGAGTCATGCTGCATGAAACGCATGTCTCGGTCTGGAACGAGCATGAAACGGAGTATGTAACAAAAGCGAATTTAGCACCACCTTCACTAGCATGATCTACGACAAACGTAAGCGTGGCAGCAACGATCACAAGCACGAGCAAGTATTGAACTTAAGACCTTCGTGGATCTTCTAAAGCTGGGTGGAATTCTACTCGCCTATCTTCAGGATCTTGCAACGTACGAAAGGCTGTACTAAAGCCTGTTGAAGGTAATAAGGTATGTTGGGGATCAGCCAAAACCTGTTCATAGTCCATGGGCTACGTTGAGGGTCTTGTGCTAACCTCTTGGAATCCAATAGGGCTGTTTTGGAGATCATGTGAGCCTAAGGCAATGTGGATCGTAGAGAATGTATGACGACCTCATGCAAAAGTCGGTGAGATTTGTTGGCATTGCCTTCTTTACCATGGTCTGGAACAGAGGGGTCTGGAACTCAGTTCGGGGAGTTGTTCCGTATCTCTGGATCGGGGTCTGGATCAGGATGTGCGTTTCGCCCGGAACCAATCACACTTGCATGCCACATGGCACGCACATCACATCTCGATCTGGGGAAATCCCATGATGATGATCATGATCACTGGACCTCTTGGCGTCATTTCAGCAATCAGACATCACCAGGTGGCCAGACCCAAGAGGGGCGGCAGCGGCAGAATTTCCGGTGCGACCTCAGACGAGGTTTTCCTATGAATTGAAGCGGCCAGCGCAGCAGGCCGAGTCTGGGTGTGGCTTTGCGTTCATGACTGATGGCTTCGATTCTCTTGTCCGAGCACAGGCAGCACGAAAACCCGATTCATGCGTGACTGGGGCTCTGGACCTCTCAGCAGTCATGTGTGCCACTGACGCACCTCTAGCGAATTCGCACGAACCCTCCTGGGCCACGGCAGGCGCCCATTGACCGGGAGCAGCATCCGGGGATCTGGACAGCGTACTATCACGGAACAGATGTTTTGGCAAGAACAACAAGATTACTATCAGGATCGTCATCGAATCCTAGAAGCGTAATGCAATGAAAAGCTGCCACGGTCCGATGAGCCATGCAGCAGACCTATGACACAAGCGCTAAGTGCTGGGAGAAGCCTAGCCCGGCAGCTTCCACCTTCTGGGAGCCCTACCGTACTTGTACAGGCACCTGACCTGATACCAGGCCCGCTGAGCCGCTGGCTTTGGAACCGGGACCGGCTGTGGGGCAGTCGTCGCGGGCGCCTTGTGCCGTATGCATCAAAACGGCAAACGTTTCATAAATACTTAACGTATTGCGATCCCTGCAAAACTTGAGCCCATCCAAGACACCCATATTGCGGCCCGGTTGTGAGTAAGGGCCTATCTCGCTCCAGGACTCCGAGTGGCCTCATGTTATGACGTAGGCTTTGAGATCTTGGTCAATGCTCTTAAGCTCA